ACTCTCTCTCTCTCTCTCTCTCTCCTCTCTCTCTCTCTCTCTCTCTCTCTCTCCTCTCTCTCGTTCTCTCTCCTCTCCCCTGTCTCTCCTCTCTCCTCTCTCTCTCTCTTCTCTCTCTCTCTCTCTCTCTCTCCTCTCTCTCTCTCTCTCTCTCTCTCTCTCTCTCTCTCTCTCTCTTCTCTCTCTCTCTCTCTCTCTCTCTCTCTCTCTCTCTCTCCTCTCTCTTCTCTCTCTCTCTCTGTCTCTCTCTCTCTGTTTCTCTGTTCTCTCTCTCACTCTCTCTCCTCTCTCTCTCGTTTTCTGTGAGAAAAGAAGGAAAATGGAGAAGAAATGAGAGCAACATCACCGCCAGTAATTTTTTACGATATGAAAACGATGATGATGATAGTGATGATTATGATTATTTTAATTGATAATGATAATGGTGATTATGATTATGATAATGATAATGGATATTTTTAATTGATAATGATAATGGTGATTTATGATTATTTTGATTGATAATGATAATGGTGATGATGATAATTATAATGATTATTATGATTGTTTTAATTGATATATTGATGACGGTGATGATGATAATGATAAGATTGATAATGATAATGGTGATTATGATTATTTTAATTGATAATGATAATGATGATTATGATTATTTTAATGATAATGATAATGGTGATTATGATTATTTAATGATAATGATAATGGTGATTATGATTATTTTAATTGATAATGATAATGATGATGATGATAAATTGTAATGGTGATGATGATTCATGATTATTTTAATTGATAATGATATGTGATGTGATGATAATGATTTTATGATGATAATGGGTGATGATGATATGATAATTGATAATGATAATTGATGATTATGATTATGATAATGATTATTGATTATTTTAATTGATATATGATAATGTAATGATTATGATTATTTTTGATTGATAATGATAATTGATGATATATATAATGATTTTATGATTGTTTTAATTGATATATGGATGACGGTTGATGATAATGATAATTGATGAATGATTATTATGATATGTTATTTTAATTGATAATGGATGACGGTGATGATGATAATGATAAGAATGATTGATAATGATAATTGATGATTATTATTATTGTGATTATGATAATGGTGATATGATGATATGGATGATTATGATTATTTTAATTGATAATGCATATGGTTGATGATGATTAAATTGATAATAGTGATTGATGATTGATGATTATGATTTTTAATGATAATGATGATGATGATGATTGTGATTATTAATGGTGATAGAAATAGCGATTATGACGTCATTAAATTGATTAAATGTCAGAAATGACGTCATGACGGTAACATAGTGATGAATATTATGATATAATGATAGTATTTATGAAACTGATGACAAATTGGTTGTATTAATGATAATTATAGCATTCATGGTATGAATAACAACCATGATTGTAATAATGGGATATTAATTAGCAACATTATTGTAAGCGCAAGATTAACGGCAATGACAATAATTATGACAAAGTAATTATTATCAGGATAATGAATTTAAGAAAATTAGTGATACGGCATTAGTAATAGTGACAATAGTAATGGTGATTATTATTACAACATTAATAGTTTTAATAGAATATTATTCATTATCTTATTGTTATTAATATTTCCCTTAGTGATATGTATTAATTTATTTTTTTTATAATGATCATGGTTGATAATCCAAGTATTTCATTATTTTTATTTACAAGACTAATTACCATTTACAGTTGTAATTAACCGTGCTCCTAATCATTAATATTATGATTATCACTATTGTTTGGTTTATCACTTATCATTAGGATATTTTGATTTTGATATCTTTTTATTAATGAGATAATTATTATATCATCACTATCTTTGTTATCATTTTTTATTTGATATGTTATTTGCAGTTATTTATTATTATTTTATGTGTCATCATCATTTTTTATCTATTCATTATGCATCTCATCATCATTCATCATCAATCACATCAATTCATCCATTATTATGTGTTATCATCAATCATCATCATTATATTGTTATTACAATCATCATCAGGATGCATAATTTTATTGATAATCAGTATATGTTAGTGTTTATTATGATATTTGTATTATTTATAGATTATTATATTTCATAATATATATTATTATTATCACATCATTTGTATATTATTATTATTATTATAATTATAAAATATTATTGTATTATTATTATTAGTATTATTATTATTGCTATTGTTGTTGGCATTATTTTTATATATTATTATATTAATGTAATATAATATTTTTATAACATAAATTATATTATTAGAACATTTAATAAAATAAGTAATTATTATTTAATGATATTTCGATTATTATCATTATTTTATTATGTTATGATAATCATTATTGCTAATATATTGGCATATATTATAATAATAATAATAAATATTAATTATTATTATTATATATAATACATTATATATTATTATTAATTGATTTATTGATATATTTAATAATATATTATATTATTATATTATTATTATTATTATTATCATTATTTTGCTACATTTATCATTTTTTATATTAAATCATTATTAATATTGATATTTTTATCATCATCATTATAATAATAATGATAATAGGAAGTATGAAGAGAAGAAGAATACTAATGATAATGATATTAGTAATAATAATGATAATGATAACTACAACTGTTAATGGTTTATATTATTGTTGTTGTTGTTGTTGTTTTTTTCATACCATCATCATTATTATCACTATGTTCTTATTTTCATTATTATTATTGTTGTTGTTGCTGTTGTCATCATCATCGTTATTTATTATCATTATGATTACTATCAAATTATTCTTATTATTGCTTTTATTATCATTATTATCATTTATTATTATCATCATTCATCGCCATCGTCATAGTCATCATCATCATTGTGATTTATTGGACTAATAGTCATTATAATTATTTCAATTATCGCCGTTATCAAGGTGTAAATAATTATCCGTATCATTAATAAATTATCATCATTATTATCAACATCATTATTATTGTTTGATGTTATTAATTGTAGTTTATTTCTTATTAGTCTCGCTAAATTATGATGAATTAATGATAATCGTTACGTAATATTCATGGAAGTCTCATTAACAATATTGAGTGAACTACACATGCGCAAGATTATTTATTATGAATATTTTCTGTCTGTCTGTCTGTGTTCCACTCTATAAGGAACTCGTAAAGTCTGGTAGCTTCGGCGACGTGCACACATCTGCACGTATCAGCATCGATAGACATGTGATAGATAAAAAAAACTCTCCCCCCACCCCATGCAGGAAAGTATGGTGGCGTGAGGCCGTGTCATGGAGTGCATATGTGCTTTGATGTGCGTGTGTGTGTGTGTGTGTGTGTACGTATCGCCGTTCCTGCTCTCTTCGCCATTTTCACAGGTCTCCTCCTTGCGCCTCCGTTGCCAGATTCTGCTTATTGGCGGGACGGAGGTGAGCCTCGCCCTCGGGGAGCCTCGGTCAGGCTGCATGGCATCTTCCTGGTCTACCTGCCCGTGCATGGCTTTTCGTCTTAGAATGCCCGTGACGGAAAAGCTCCGGCGATGGACAAATAGAAGTAAAAGTGTGGAGCGCGAGAGAGGGAGGGAGGGAGGACGCACCCGCCACGGAGCGGCCACTGGCGCGAGCGGCCACCTCCCTATACCGACCGCTGCGGGATACTAGTGTCCGCTCTCTCTACCTCGCCCTCCCCCCCTCCCTCCCCGCTCCTCTACCCCGGTCCCTTCCCTTCCCCGGCCTCCCTCCCTCCTCCTCCCTTCCACCGGCCTCCCTCCCTCCCTCCCTCCTTCCCCTCCGCCCTCCCTCACCGCCATGTTGAATCTCACCTTGTCCACGAATCCTGCTGCACCAGACATCTATTTGTTTCGAGGGGGAGCCACGTGGGGAAATAAAACAACCACGCTGCTGACGTATATGTGTACATTTTTCCGTATGTGGCAGCCACCATATTTCCAAGACAAACGGTCAACCCCCCACCTCCTCCCCCCCTCCCTCCTTCCCCTAGTCAAGCCAGTCAGACCCTTGATGCTTGTCTCCTGCTGTCTGCCATGTTGGTTCCTCTGCCTTCACCTACATATATCTAATCATTCTGCTCGTCCAAATCTCCGGCTAGGCTCGCTGACACTAACTCACCTGATATTTACACTGTACTCGTACGATCTGAGCAGTGAATACTACTTTTCTGCATATTTTCACTTACTTACATTGAGTACAGTGCAGTGATTCATAAATTACACGATCAGGTGTAATCATTGAACACAGGAAATCAAACATGGGCGTTGATACATGCACTGTACTCATTATTACTCAAAAGTACATGCACAGTACTAATTTGAACATGTAAAAATATCTACTGTATATTCACTATACGTGCTATGCACTGTATGCACTATACTCATTAATTCTTGCAATTACATGCACCATATCCTTCCATATATGTAACCACCTTCACTGTACTCCCCATTGCCTATAACAAAGTATTACAAATAATTATGTCCATTTTATTCATCAATACTTATAATATACATTAACTGTGCCACTTAAAAATATAAATATTACATTAATTCTTACTTTTATCTACCTGCATTCATGCCTACCTACTTACATTACTTACGTGTTACTCGTAAGAGAATATTGAAACGTCATGACAAATTCGTCGAAATACATACCTAAATTATATATCATCTTGATAATTAAGTCAATAGAAACACCAGCATTATTATTTCATGGTAATGTAATCCGGAAAAAATCTGTAGGTTAAGCATATATAGTTTAACATGATATTTTACACGTTATGGAGTAATATGAAATGCTCCAAAATGTTCTTTGTTGAGTTTCCAGTTGTTCTGCCTTGAAAGAAACGCCTAATAGTACAGATGTCCTTAGTTATATATTTATCTGAATGAAACCATGGCCTGGGAATGCGCATAGCAAGGAGTAGCGAGAAATAAAAGGCGAATAAGTGAAAAATAAAGAAAAAGTCTGTGCTCCAGGTGGACATTCTCTAAAACACGCTCTTGAACACGTTATTATTCGCTGTCATAATCGTCTGCCGTTTTGCTGGCATTTTCCACACTTATTATGCACTCGTTGTGGCCGTGAGAGTGTCGTGAGTGTGAAAATGGGCCCAAAATAGAGAAAAAAGAGAGAAAAATAGGGGGATATTCCCATTTTCTACGCGTGGGCTTTGCCGGCGGACGCGCCTCATCCCCCTCATTGTTGACGAAGGAGTGAGGAACATTTTGCAATTTTCATCGATTTTCTATGAGTGCGAAGGAGCTTTGTGCCAATTCCAACTTCATATCGGGACGTGCTACTATGAAGTTATGGACTACGTAGGGAACACGCCGAAATGTCTCTGGGTAAGTGGAAAAAGGAGGAAAAAAGGGCCGAATCGATGGCCAAAGGAAAGGCCCTTCGTAAACACTCGGTCTCCCCGAGCTTTATCTCCGAGGTGGAAAAGCTGCTCCTTATGCCTTGTCCCGGGTCGAATCCTTGCGGGGATCGCCCTCATGGCAGCCTCGAGGACGTGAGTGTGTCTCGGTGAGGTGCAAAGCGTGGAAATGCCTCGGGAAAATGGAATTCTGGAACCAAATAGGTGGCGAGGGAAGGCCTCTGCGTGGCGTAATGGAGGTGTGTGTGTGGGGCTGCCCCGGGATTACTTCTGTTTATTATTTATTATTTGGTTCTTGGGGGATTTTGCGCCTCCTTCCCTCCTGCCTGCCAGGGAGTAACAAGTCCCAGGACGTGAGGAAATGCGGAAAAATGGCACGAGCTCCTTGGTTTCAATGGAAAACCTGTCCTTTTGCACTGGGAAAGGAGAGTGATTAATGGCCCTGATCTCTGAAGGTTCTCAGGCTCATATTTTTTTTATTTCTAAGATCACGTCTCATAATGGAAGAGAGGAATCCTCCAATTTCAGTGAATAAGTTGATGATGTGGTTAAACTCCCAGAAAATTTGTTCTGTTCTCTTTGATGAAGAACAAGATTTCATGTTTTGGGGTGGAACATTCCTTCAGGTTTTTCCTCTCCCAGCCTACCTGCCTTATCTCAGAGTGTCCGTGATATGTCATTCTAATTAATTAAGATCTGTATTATATTGTAGCTGCGATTAGTGATTTATTTTTCGTAATAAAGCTCGAAGATTTGCAACCTATCATGGCAAATGTCTCTGACTGCCGGTCCATGTTTTCACATGAAGTGCACAAATGATCTTGGATACTGTCTCAAGTTATGAAAAAATCGAATGTTGAAGGGATTTGAGCTTTATTTACCCAACCGGCATTATTTATTTTGGTGTGTGAATAGTATTATTGATATTTGAAGAGAGGGAAATGCATCCATTTTGTTACTTCCTGTGCTAGGCTAAGAAATGTGTGCATGTTTATTTTTTTCAGACAGCAAATGTCCGCGTAATAGAATTGTTGATTTATAAGTCATTGCAAACCACAAGTTATTTCACAAAAATGACACTATAGTTAACGTAAAAAAAAATGTAAACAATTTCTGTTGTGTTGTGCTTCTTGTTTTCCGTAACAATGCAAAGATGAAAAGGTTTAGTAAGATAATTTAGACGTCAATTTAGTTCTAATTCTCTCGACCTAATATTTAATGGAACTTCGAGTAGATAACTGAATTACATGTTGATCTGTTTGTGCTTATGATGATACTGCATTTGATGGAAGTTAATACTACTTCATATTTGTTTCCGGAAAATTTTATTATTCGGTTATTTTTATTGTTATTGTTATTATTATTACATTAGCTTTACTATTTCCATTACTATTACTCTTACTATTACTACTGATGTCATTGTTACTGTTATTTTTATTATTATTATTATTATTATTGATATTATTATTAGTGTTGTTATTATTATTATTATTATTATTATTATTATTATTATTATTATTATCATCATTATCATTATAATCATTATCATTACCATTACTGTTACTGTTACTTTTACTGATACTGTGACTTATTTTGTAATCCACATGTTCTCATTGTGATTCCTCATTCCAGGAGCGGTGACAGGTGTTAAGATGGATCACTTCAGTGTCCTGGATCCTCGAAAACAAGAGCTTCTGGAGGCACGGATTGGAGGAAGGGTAATAGAAACCTCCTTTTTGGTTACCTCAGATAATGAGCATGGTGGAGACGCCCCAAGAAGTGCTATTTCCCAGTCTAGTCCCCAGTTACCAATACACAGTAATACAGGATCACAAGAAGCAGGGAAACCACTAATAAATCTAGGGGAACCAGCAGCAGTACCTCCTCTTCTCCATAGGGTAGACTCCTCTATGTACTTGGGTTCCAAGCAAGTCACTCCTTGCTCACCAAAGACCTTACAGGCTAATGTAGGTGGTCATGATGTGATGATAAAAAAGAATACTGGACAGTACGGATCACAGCCTGAAATTTCTGTTAGTTCTAACAGACAGGCCCAGAGTGTGTCTTTTGCTCGGAGTAGTACCCAGGGTACATTAGAAATAAAAGAAATTGATGGAAATAAGCATGTGAATTTGGCTCAGAGCCTTTCACAGAAACGATTTGATAAAACACAAGACAGTGACAACAAAAGTAACAAGCACTTCAACTCGGCTGACCAACCATGTGGAGTTCCTGATGGTGTCCTGACTGGAGCACCTGAGATGGACGACAACTCCAAGACTTCTGCTAAGACAAACAAGTCCTCTAACTGTACTGGAACTCCAGACAAGCCCTTGACAGGAGACTTGGAGTTGGATCCTACAGGTGAACCTGTCAGACCATCCAGTAAGAAGACTCCCAAAGCCAAGCGTCACCTAACGTCCCCAAGAGGGACCCGCGGAAACCCCAGATTGGCGGGGGAGGTGGCCAGGGTGGGAGCCAGGTCGGACAGCCAGCTTCAGCTGTTTCTTGAGGCAGGGAGGCTGGAGAAGGTTAGAGATGCATTTACTGATAGTACACTTGCATTATTTGGTGTGGGTTTGTTTGAAAAGTACTTGGGAATTTGTTAAAGAAACTGTAGATATTTTTATTTTAAGATGCACAAAAATTAAGCTTCTTTAAAAGTAAGATTTAAAGTTGAATACTTAGCTTGGGCAATAGCTATTGATCAAGTTTAGCACTTTTAAGGCTAGTTGATACTTGCACCTTATGAAAACAAAGTTGAAAAAAATAGACACTAAGATAGATTGTATTGATACTGCAGTAAAGGAAGAACAGATTACTGGTATCCCTGTCTCAGGAACACAGAGGGAACATCCAAAACAGATTGATTACTACTCCTGATTTAATAATTTTTGTATTTCTCCATCATTACCAGTCTTGCGAGATTGATTTTCACATGTAAAGCTTTTCATATCAATTCAAGTGCTATCAGGCATGTGTTCAATACTGCTTTCTGTTATATTTATTTTCTTATGGTGATTAAACTGTGCATTTCATTAGAGAAAAGATAGATCAGCTATTTTATTTTTGTTTGCTTCTTCTATAAGAAATTGTTGTAGAATGTAATTCTAATCCGTTAAATATTCTTAATTTTCAATGAGGATCATACAGTTTTGTCTGCACATTTATTTTCTCTTTGCATTAGGCTAATTTTATAATGATAGGAAAACAGGACTTATGTAAAGACTTACATATATTAAGAGTATTCTAAGCAGGCTAACTGAACAGGCAGACAATCAAGAATATGCATAATATGCTTATTTTAAACACATATCAAAACACATGAATGCATACACAATAAAAAGAAAAAGAAAAAAATGTGTCCAATGATTATATATACATACTGTATATATATTGTAATGTATATTATAATGTGTATTTATGTGTGTGTGTAGGGAGGGTGCACTGTGTGTGTTCCTTGC